TGAAGACCCTTTTCTGTTCCAGCATGATTGTGCCCCTGTCTACAAAGCCAGCTCCATAACAACATGGTTTGATCTGTTTCTTGTGGAGGAACTTGAGTGTCCTGATCTCAACCCAACTGAATACCTTTGAGATGAATAGCCAATGGTGATCCAAGTTTTCTTTTCCAACATCATTAACCTGACCTTAACCCTACAGAACACTCTACCCTACAGATCTTCTCATCCCAAAGGTGTTCAGTAGGTTTGTGGTCATGAAAGAACTTGTCCTGCACAGAGACTTGACATCAACCCTACTGAACACCTTTGGTGTGAATTGGAATGCCAATTGGGCAACCCATTTCTGTTCCTGCATGACTGAGCCCCTGTGTACAAACCCAGCACCATAAAGACCTGGTTTGACCAGTTTGGGGTGGAGGAACTCCATTGTCCTACACAGAGCCCTGACCTCAACCCTATTGAACACTCTTGGAATAAAATGGGTTATGAGCCAGATCTTCTCATTCAACATCAAAAATGACCTCACAAATCCCCACAGATGCCCTCTGAAATCTTGTGAAAACCTTCCCAGAATATTGGATGATGTTATGGCCACAAAGGGGGGCAGCTCCTTATTATAGGCCATTGGGGGGAGGGTGGGCAGGGACTCCCTATTAATGAATGATTGTGGCAGTTTGGTGTGAAGGAACTTCAGTGTCATGCACAAAGCCCTTACCTCTTAACTCTACTTTTGGAAGACCTTTGGGATCAGGTCTTCTCATCAAAGGTCAGTACCTGCCTGAAGCCTACTGAAAGCCTTGGGGATCAAGTCTTGATACCATGGGTGTTCAGTAGGTTTGCGGTCATGAAGAAACTCGAGTGTCCTGCACAGAGCCCTGACATCAACCCTACTGAACACCTTTGGGATGAATTGGAATGCTGGTGGTGAACCAGGTCTTCTCATCCAACATCAGTACCTGACCTTCCAAATGGACACCCTCCAAAATCTTGCGGAAAGTCTTCCCAGAAGAGTGGAGAATGTTCTAGCCACAAAGGAAGGCCACTCAACGTTAATGTGTTTGTGGTGGTGGTGAAATTCTATTTTAAAGGCCAGGGTTTTGGAAAAGGATGTCCAACAAACTCATCTAGGTGTGATGGGTGAAGGAACTCAAGTGTCCCTCACAGAACCCTGACCTCAACCCTACTGAACACTGAATGAATTTGGACGCAGGTATTAAACAGATACATCGGTAGCTGACCTCACAAAAGGGCGCAAATTCCTAATTATGCAAAATCTTGTGGAAATTCTTTCGGGAAAAGTTGACCCAACACTTTTAGCATGATGTATGTGAGCGTGTTGGACACACCATTCCAAAACCAGACACAGGCTGTTGGCCTAGTTGCTCTACAAGTCCTGATGAAGTGGAGTCTTCAGCCCCCAAAACCTGTTGGATTTTTACTGCAGAATAAAATTTTCACGGACTGTTTGAACCAGTTGCATGCCTAAGTGCTTGATTTTATACACCTCTGGCCATGGAGAGGATTGGAACACCCGAATCACATGATTTGGAGGGTTGGCCCAACACTTTTGGCATGGTGTATGTGAGCTTGTTGGACATACCATTCCAAAACCAGACGGAGGCTGTTGGCCTAGCTGGCCTAGTTGCTCTACAAGCCCTTATGAAGTGGAGTCTTCAGCTCCCAAAACCCGTTGGATTTTTATTGAAGAATAAAATCTTTCATGGACTGTTTGAACCAGCTGCATGCCTAGGGGCTTGATTGTATACACCTGTGGCCATGGAGGGGATTGGAACACCCGAATCCATTGTTTTGGAGGGCTGGCCCAACACTTTTGGCATGGTGTATGTGAGCTTGTTGGACATACCATTCCAAAACCAAACGGAGGCTGTTGGCCTAGCTGGCCTAGTTGCTCTACAAGTCCTGATGAAGTGGAGTCTTCAGCTCCTGAAATCTGTTGGATTTTTATTGAAGAATAAAATCTTTCATGGACTGTTTGAACCAGCTGCATGTCTAGGGGCTTGAATTTATACACCTGTGGCCATGGAGGGGATTGGAACATCCGAATCACATGATTTGGAGGGGATTGGAACACCCGAATCCATTGTTTTGGAGGGCTGGCCCAACACTTTTGGCATGGTGTATGTGAGCTTGTTGGACACACCATTCCAAAACCAGACGGAGGCTGTTGGCCTAGTTGCTCTACAAGTCCTGATGAAGTGGAGTCTTCAGCCCCCGAAACCTGTTGTATCTTCATTGAAGAATATAATCTTTCATGGACTGTTTGAACCAGCTGCATGTCCTTGGGCTTGATTTTCTACACCTGTGGCCATGGAGGGGATTGGAACACCCAAATCACATGATTTGGAGGGTTGGCCCAACACTTTTGGCATGGTGTATGTGAGCTTGTTGGATGCACCATTCGAAAACCAGATGGAGGCTGTTGGCCTAGCTGGCCTAGTTGCTCTACAAGTCCTGATGAAGTGGAGTCTTCAGCTCCTGAAACCCGTTGGATTTTTATAGAAGAATAAAATCTTTCATGGACTGTTTGAACCAGCTGCATGTCTAGGGGCTTGAATTTATACACCTGTGGCCATGGAGGGGATTGGAACATCCGAATCACATGATTTGGAGGGGATTGGAACACCCGAATCCATTGTTTTGGAGGGCTGGCCCAACACTTTTGGCATGGTGTATGTGAGCTTGTTGGACACACCATTCCAAAACCAGATGGAGGCTGTTGGCCTAGTTGCTGTACAAGTCCTGATGAAGTGGAGTCTTCAGCCCCCCAAAACCTGTTGGATTGCCATTGAAGAATATAATCTTTCATGGACTGTTTGAACCAGCTGCATGTCTAGGGGCTTGATTTCCTACACAGGTGGCCATGAGGGGATTGGGACATCGGAATCCAATGACTTGGTGAGCTGGCCCAATACTTTTGGCATGGTGTATGTGAGCTTGTTGGACATACCATTCCACAACCAGATGGAGTCTGTTGGCCTAACTGGCCTAGTTCCTCTACAAGTCCTGATGAGTCTTCAGCCCCGAAACCTGTTGGATTTTTCACTGCAGAATAAAATCTTTCATGGACTGTTTGAACTAGGTGCTTGATTTTATACACCAGTGGCCATGGAGGGGATTGGAAGATCCAAATCCAATGTTTTGGAGGGTTGGCCAACACTTTTGGCATGGTGTATGTGAGCTTGTTGGACATACCATTCCAAAACCAGACGGAGGCTGTTGGCCTAGTTGCTCTACAAGTCCTGATGAAGTGGAGTCTTCAGCTCCCAAAACCCGTTGGATTTTTATTGAAGAATAAAATCTTTCATGGACTGTTTGAACCAGCTGCATGCCTAGGTGCTTGATTCTATACACCTGTGGCCATGGAGGGGGTTGGGACACCCGAATCCAATGACTTGGTGAGCTGGATCAATACTTTTGGCATGGTGTATGTGAGCTTGTTGGACACACCATTCCAAAACCAGATGGAGGCTGTTGGCCTAGTTGCTCTACAAGCCCTGATGAAGTGGAGTCTTCAGCTCCCAAAACCCGTTGGATTTTTATTGAAGAATAAAATCTTTCATGGACTGTTTGAACCAGCTGCATGCCTAGGTGCTTGATTCTATACACCTGTGGCCATGGAGGGGGTTGGGACACCCGAATCCAATGACTTGGTGAGCTGGCCCAATACTTTTGGCATGGTGTATGTGAGCTTGTTGGACACACCATTCCAAAACCAGACGGAGGCTGTTGGCCTAGTTGCTCTACAAGTCCTGATGAAGTGGAGTCTTCAGCTCCCAAAACTCATTGGATTTTTATTGAAGAATAAAATCTTTCACGGATTGTTTGAACCAGTGTGGCCCACCCATCTTTCGAGTTCCTTAACCGATTCCTCCGAGGCTCCAGCAGGACATTGCGGATGAGCAGCCTCCAGGACCGCACACTGCATATAACGTCCAATCCAATCACCATACGGTTTGGATCTCCTACACCACACAGAAGATGGTTGTGTTTCACGGAACGACACCTACAGCAGAGGTGGGCCCTCCAGCTGTTGCGGGGAGCACAAGTCCTATGAGGCACCGCAAGACTGACCCCCACAAACGCATCTCCCAGAGGCATGATGGGACTTGTAGTCCCACAACAGCTGGAGGGCCTATGTTTTCCCACCCCCTTGTTGACTTTGAAGCCTTTGAAAGGGTTTTCTGGCTCGGCAGTCACTCAGTGACGTTCGGTGTTGCGGCAGCGCCAGGATATTATCTGCCGTTGCGTGCGTTCGTGTAATAGAAGCCCAATCCCTGACCTCCTTGCGACGGCCGAGAGGGCCTCTAATCTCATTCCACACGGACAGGACACACGAGGAGCGCTGAAGTGATTTCCTGAGTCTCCGTCATGCCGTCGGTGCTGCTGCTGGTCCTCTGATTGCCGGAGTCCTGATTACCCGGCCACATCTGGACAGATTTGTTCTCATTTCCTACTGAGATTATCACAGCGATTCCCATGAAGATAAACAGGCGGGAGACGCAGAACCACCGAATTGGGTCAGGACTCCATCGGGTTCAATTCCCTCGTAATAGCAATCTGTACAACAGGACACCGTGTCTTAAAGGAGGACTCCTGACAATTCAAATCCTCCCTCCGACCCCCCTTCAGTCCTGCACAGGTGTAACGGCTCCTCCCCTTCAGTCTTGCACAGGTGTACCGCCTCCTCCCCTTCAGTCTTGCACAGGTGTAACGGCTCCTCCCCTTCAGTCTTGCACAGGGTGTACCGGCTCCTCCCCTTCAGTCCGGCACGGGTGTACTGGCTCCTCCCCTTCCATCTTGCACAGGCGTACCAACTCCTCCCCTTCAGTCCTGCACAGGTGTACCGGCTCCCTCCCCTTCAGTCCTGCACAGGTGTACCGACTCCTCCCCTTCAGTCCTGCACAGGTGTACCGGCTCCTCCCCTTCAGTCCTGCACAGGTGTACCGGCTCCTCCCCTATAGTCCTGCACAGGTGTATCGGCTCCTCCCCTCCAGTCTTGCACAGGTGTACCGGCTCCTCCCCTTCAGTCTTGCACAGGTGTACCGGCTCCTCCCCTTCAGTCTTGCACAGGTGTCCAGGCTCCTCCCCTTCAGTCTTGCACAGGTGTACCGGCTCCTCCCCTTCAGTCTTGCACAGGTGTACCGGCTCCTCCCCTTCAGTCTTGCACAGGTGTACAGGCTCCTCCCCTTCAGTCCTGCACAGGTGTACCGGCTCCTCCCCTTCAGTCCTGCACAGGTGTATCGGCTCCTCCCCTCCAGTCTTGCACAGGTGTACCGGCTCCTCCCCTTCAGTCTTGCACAGGTGTCCCCGGCTCCTCCCCTTCAGTCTTGCACAGGTGTCCCGGCTCCTCCCCTTCAGTCTTGTGCCGGTGTACCGGCTCCTCCCCTTCAGTCTTGCACAGGTGTACCGGCTCCTCCCCTTCAGTCTTGCACAGGTGTACCGGCTCCTCCCCTTCAGTCTTGCACAGGTGTACCGGCTCCTCCCCTTCAGTCTTGCATCGGCTCCTCCCCTTCAGTCTTGCACAGGTGTACCGACTCCTCCCCTGGACAGGGATGTCTTTCTCTGATGTCACTGCACACTGGGAGCGTCTCACAATGTGCATCAGAAGCTGCAGCCAATCAGATAGAGCTCCTTTCCTGGCTGGAGGACGTCCAGCATCATCTAGCTCTTTCCTCTCCAGTCTGCCTGTTCCTGGCCCCACCCCTTTCATTCATTGGATTTCAGTTCTTTGAATTATGGAGATTCGGCATCAGACATCAGATGTGTGTTTCGTTCCGATCGATTTTGTAAGTTGCCATGTCCCTTGTGTTGGTAATGAAAGGAGTTTCTTTTTTTGTTTCTTTTATTCGTTTTTGAGCGGATTCACATTTTTCCGATGGATTCGAAGAATTAAAATCGAATTTCTTAATTGAAAATATAGAATCGATCTGAATTCAGTGTGAAGGACAGGAAGTGCTATTCTGTTCAAGATTCCAATTTCTGAAGGCGGTTATATTATTTCTATTCTATTTTTTCCCCATACTATTCTATCCTTTTCTATTCTCCGGGGAGACTGAGGAAATGACTCCTCCCCTTCTACAAACTTACAATGTACAGTCTGATCACTGGGGGAGGGGAGACTGAGGAAATGACTCCTCCCCCATCTACAAACTTACAATGTACGGTCTGATCACTGGGGGAGGGGAGACTGAGGAAATGACTCCTCCCCCTTCTACAAACTTACAATGTACAGTCTGATCACTGGGGGAGGGGAGACTGAGGAAATGACTCCTCCCCCTTCTACAAACTTACAATGTACGGTCTGATCACTGGGGGAGGAGACTGAGGAAATGACTCCTCCCCCTTCTACAAACTTACAATGTACGGTCTGATCACTGGGGGAGGGGAGACTGAGGAAATGACTCCTCCCCCTTCTACAAACTTACAATGTACAGTCTGATCAGTGGGGGAGGGGAGACTGAGGAAATGACTCCTCCCCCTTCTACAAACTTACAATGTACAGTCTGATCACTGGGGGAGGGGAGACTGAGGAAATGACTCCTCCCCCTTCTACAAACTTACAATGTACAGTCTGATCACTGGGGGGGGGGGAGACTGAGGAAATGACTCCTCCCCCTTCTACAAAAATACAATGTACGGTCTGATCGCTGGGGGAGGGGAGACTGAGGAAATGACTCCTCCTCCTTCTACAAACTTACAATGTACGGTCTGATCACTGGGGGAGGGGAGACTGAGGAAATGACTCCTCCTCCTTCTACAAAGTTACAATGTACAGTCTGATCACTGGGGGAGGAGACTGAGGAAATGACTCCTCCTCCTTCTACAAAGTTACAATGTGCAGTCTGATCACTGGGGGAGGGGGAGACTGAGGAAATGACTCCTCCCCCCCTTCTACAAAGTTACAATGTACAGTCTGATCACTGGGGGAGGAGACTGAGGAAATGACTCCTCCTCCTTCTACAAAGTTACAATGTACAGTCTGATCTTTGGGGGAGGAGACTGAGGAAATGACTCCTCCTCCTTCTACAAAGTTACAATGTACAGTCTGATCTTTGGGGGAGGAAACTGAGGAAATGACTCCTCCTCCTTCTACAAAGTTACAATGTACAGTCTGATCACTGGGGGAGGAGACTGAGGAAATGACTCCTCCTCCTTCTACAAACTTACAATGTACAGTCTGATCTTTGGGGGAGGAGACTGAGGAAATGACTCCTCCTCCTTCTTCAAAGTTATAATGTACAGTCTGATCACTGGGGGGGAGGAGACTGAGGAAATGACTCCTCCCACTTCTACAAACTTACAATGTACAGTCTGATCACTGGGGGAGGGGAGACTGAGGAAATGACTCCTCCCCCATCTACAAACTTACAATGTACGGTCTGATCACTGGGGGGGAGGGGAGACTGAGGAAATGACTCCTCCCCTTCTACAAACTTACAATGTACAGTCTGATCACTGGGGGAGGGGAGACTGAGGAAATGACTCCTCCCCCTTCTACAAACTTACAATGTATGGTCTGATCACTGGGGGAGGAGACTGAGGAAATGACTCCTCCCCCTTCTACAAACTTACAATGTACGGTCTGATCACTGGGGGAGGGGAGACTGAGGAAATGACTCCTCCCCCTTCTACAAACTTACAATGTACAGTCTGATCACTGGGGGAGGGGAGACTGAGGAAATGACTCCTCCCCCTTCTACAAACTTACAATGTACAGTCTGATCACTGGGGGGGAGGGGAGACTGAGGAAATGACTCCTCCCCCTTCTACAAACTTACAATGTACAGTCTGATCACTGGGGGGGAGGGGAGACTGAGGAAATGACTCCTCCCCCTTCTACAAAAATACAATGTACGGTCTGATCGCTGGGGGAGGGGAGACTGAGGAAATGACTCCTCCTCCTTCTACAAACTTACAATGTACGGTCTGATCACTGGGGGAGGGGAGACTGAGGAAATGACTCCTCCTCCTTCTACAAAGTTACAATGTACAGTCTGATCACTGGGGGAGGAGACTGAGGAAATGACTCCTCCCTCCTTCTACAAAGTTACAATGTGCAGTCTGATCACTGGGGGAGGGGAGACTGAGGAAATGACTCCTCCCCCTTCTACAAAGTTACAATGTACAGTCTGATCACTGGGGGAGGAGACTGAGGAAATGACTCCTCCTCCTTCTACAAAGTTACAATGTACAGTCTGATCACTTTGGGGGAGGAGACTGAGGAAATGACTCCTCCTCCTTCTACAAAGTTACAATGTACAGTCTGATCTTTGGGGGAGGAAACTGAGGAAATGACTCCTCCTCCTTCTACAAAGTTACAATGTACAGTCTGATCACTGGGGGAGGAGACTGAGGAAATGACTCCTCCTCCTTCTACAAACTTACAATGTACAGTCTGATCTTTGGGGGAGGAGACTGAGGAAATGACTCCTCCCTCCTTCTTCAAAGTTATAATGTACAGTCTGATCACTGGGGGAGGAGACTGAGGAAATGACTCCTCCTCCTTCTACAAACTTACAATGTACGGTCTGATCACTGGGGGAGGAAACTGAGGAAATGACTCCTCCCCCTTCTACAAAGTTACAATGTACAGTCTGATCACTGGGGGAGGAGACTGAGGAAATGACTCCCCCTCCTTCTACAAACTTACAATGTACAGTCTGATCTTTAGGGGAGGAGACTGAGGAAATGACTCCTCCTCCTTCTACAAAGTTACAATGTACAGTCTGATCACTGGGGGAGGAAACTGAGGAAATGACTCCTCCCCCTTCTACAAAGTTACAATGTACAGTCTGATCACTGGGGAGGAGACTGAGGAAATGACTCCTCCTCCTTCTACAAAGTTACAATGTGCAGTCTGATCACTGGGGGAGGGGAGACTGAGGAAATGACTCCTCCCCCTTCTACAAAGTTACAATGTACAGTCTGATCACTGGGGGGGAGACTGAGGAAATGACTCCTCCTCCTTCTACAAAGTTACAATGTACAGTCTGATCTTTGGGGGAGGAGACTGAGGAAATGACTCCTCCTCCTTCTACAAAGTTACAATGTACAGTCTGATCTTTGGGGGAGGAAACTGAGGAAATGACTCCTCCTCCTTCTACAAAGTTACAATGTACAGTCTGATCACTGGGGGAGGAGACTGAGGAAATGACTCCTCCTCCTTCTACAAACTTACAATGTACAGTCTGATCTTTGGGGGGGGGAGGAGACTGAGGAAATGACTCCTCCTCCTTCTTCAAAGTTACAATGTACAGTCTGATCACTGGGGGAGGAGACTGAGGAAATGACTCCTCCTCCTTCTACAAACTTACAATGTACGGTCTGATCACTGGGGGAGGAAACTGAGGAAATGACTCCTCCTCCTTCTACAAAGTTACAATGTACAGTCTGATCACTGGGGGAGGGAGACTGAGGAAATGACTCCCCCTCCTTCTACAAACTTACAATGTACAGTCTGATCTTTGGGGGAGGAGACTGAGGAAATGACTCCTCCTCCTTCTACAAAGTTACAATGTACAGTCTGATCACTGGGGGAGGAAACTGAGGAAATGACTCCTCCTCCTTCTACAAACTTACAATGTACAGTCTGATCTTTGGGGGAGGAGACTGAGGAAATGACTCCTCCTCCTTCTACAAAGTTACAATGTACAGTCTGATCACTGGGGGAGGAAACTCAGGAAATGACTCCTCCTCCTTCTACAAAGTTACAATGTACAGTCTGATCACTGGGGGAGGAGACTGAGGAAATGACTCCTCCTCCTTCTACAAACTTACAATGTACAGTCTGATCACTGGGGGAGGAGAGACTGAGGAAATGACTCCTCCCCCTTCTACAAAGTTACAATGTACAGTCTGATCACTGGGGGAGGAGACTGAGGAAATGACTCCTCCCCCTTCTACAAAGTTACAATGTACAGTCTGATCACTGGGGGAGGAGACTGAGGAAATGACTCCTCCCCCTTCTACAAAGTTACAATGTACGGTCTGATCACTGGGGGAAGGGAGACTGAGGAAATGACTCCTCCCCCTTCTACAAAGTTACAATGTACGGTCTGATGACTGGGGGAGGAGACTGAGGAAATGACTCCTCCCCCTTCTACAAAGTTACAATGTACGGTCTGATCACTGGGGGGGAGGAGACTGAGGAAATGACTCCTCCCCCTTCTACAAAGTTACAATGTACGGTCTGATCACTGGGGGAGGAGACTGAGGAAATGACTCCTCCCCTTCTACAAAGTTACAATGTACGGTCTGATCACTGGGGGAGGAGACTGATGAAATGACTCCTCCCCCTTCTACAAAGTTACAATGTACGGTCTGATCACTGGGGAGAGGAGACTGAGGAAATGACTCCTCCCCCTTCTACAAAGTTACAATGTACGGTCTGATCACTGGGGGAGGAGACTGAGGAAATGACTCCTCCCCCTTCTACAAAGTTACAATGTACGGTCTGATCACTGGGGGAGGAGACTGAGGAAATGACTCCTCC